TCAGAGAAACCTGATGATCACCAGACCCCTACTGACAAGGCTGTTGAACCTCCTGTCATTGATGTTGATGAAGAATTTTCTGACAATGATTTAATTGCTAATGTCAACCCTAGCATAGCAAGAAGGATAATGAGTAGAAAAGAAAAGCAGAGTGCTGCCCAAAGCCCCTCCAAAGAGAAGGCTACTGAAGTTGTTCATAAGAAAGTTAGGCCTGAGAACAAGGCTAGAGAAGAAGTTGAGAAGGATCAAAAGGCTGGAACTTCCAAAGGGAAGGGAAAGGTAAAAGCTAAGGTATCTATTGGTAGTCTCTCAAAACCCTTGAGACAACCTATAGCCAAGAAAAGAAAGGCTCCCGAACCCTCTAAATCTGATGAGGAATCAGACTTTGATTTTGATGTTGAGAGCAATGTTCCAGACATTCCTCTCAGGAAGAAACCCTCTTCTAGCAAACTGCCTAAGGTTACCGAGGTTGCCATTGACAACATCTCCTTTCACCATCCAGAAAATGCAAGCAGGTGGAAGTATGTGTTTCTGAAAAGGATTGCCTTAGAGAGGGAGCTGAACAGAAGTGCTATTAAGTGTAAGGACGTCATGGATCTCATCAAGGCTGCTGGCCTGATGAAAACAGTGGTCAAGTTTTCCAACTGCTATGAGATTCTTGTCAAAGAATTCATAGTAAATTTGTCTGGTGGAGGTGCTGATGGAAAGTCAGCTGATTTTAAGAGTGTTTATGTGAGAGGAAGGAAGGTAAATTTCTCTCCTACTGTGATAAACAAATACCTAGGGAGGCCTGATGAAGCTCAGCCTGAGCTTGAAGTTACTGACAACCAGGTTTGTCAAACCATCACTGCCAAGCAAGTCAAGCACTGGCCCTAGAAAGGGAAGCTAACTGCAAGCAAGCTGAGTATGAAGTTTGCCATACTGCACAAAATTGGTGCAGCTAACTGGTTTCCCACCAACCACAAATCCACCATCTCCACTGGTTTGGGAAGATTTATCTATGCTGTTGGAACCAGAACAAACTTTGATTATGACAACTACATCTTTGATCAAACAATGAAACATGCTGAGAGCTGTGCTATTAAAGGCCCTATTGCTTTTCCCTCTCTCCTATGTGGTATAATCATTGATCAGTATCCTGATATTCTGGTTGAAAAGGACTCTGTGTGCAAAAGAGCCCCTGCACTTGGTTTTCACTATAAGATGTTTCAGGGAACACATGTCCCTGACATTGTTATGACATCTGCTGAGACATCAAATTTCAAAGCTCATTCCAAGAAAGTTGATGTTATAACTATTCTAAAAGAAACCTGCAGAGAGCTGGATGCAAGAAAAAGGACTCTTGAAGAGCTGATTGTTAGTCTGGAACATGAGGAGAATGAAGAACAAATGAGGGAAGAGGATGCTGATGAAGAACATCATGATGGTTCTGCAAGAAGCTCACCAGAAGATGCTGCTGAAAATAGTGCTTCCTCAGGGGATGACAGTACCTGAAAGTCTGTGTTTGCTGAGTTGTAAAGATTGATGCTGGAACTTGTTGTTGCTATTTGATACCTTCTCTCTGTTTCTGTGTATTTTGGATTTCCTTTTGATGACTGTATAACTTGAAGTACTAGATCCTTTGGCCTCTTTATGGCTAAAAAGGGGGAGAAGAAATTGTGTGGTAATTTTGGTAGAATTGGATATTGGTAGCTGTTATTAAAAATTCTGCTGCTTTCTATTCTCTGATTGTTTAGGGGTTTTAGCCAAAAATTTGCAAAAGGGGGGAGTTTGTAAGTGTTTGCTTGTTGGCATTAATTTTTGGTAAAACCAGATTTGCGAATGTCATGACTGATGTCATAACATTCTGGGATAAAGATAAATTTTGCATAAGGAATGTTTTACAGGAACAACTCAGTATGAGTGAATATCATGATGATTAAGCTATGATCATATGTACTAAATTCTACCAAAATCAGTAAGCAGGATACATGATGTCATAACCAATAAGACATCCTGTACAAATCAAGTTGTTGTGCAGATTTATTGTTTCTGAGAATTTTCAGGAATCTGGTGTGCTATTCTGAGTTGAAGTATATTGACTAGATCAGATGCTCACGTGGATATTAGGTGAACCTTGCTTAACCCTAATTTGTTATGATGAAAACCCAAGACCAAGTCTTTAGGTTAACTTTGGTTAACCCTAGCTATTTTTATGGAAGCCCGAAAATGAAGAATAGACTGCTTATATATTTCTCACGAATCCTAATGGTGAGTAGAACTTTTAAAGAGAAGATCAATAAGGCATTTTGTAGTTGTGATAGTTTTAGTAACTACTGTGAGCCAAGCAGTTATCTCTTGATAAGTGACTTGGTGTAGGATTTGGTTGTAAGGGTTGTTTATCACTCAAAGCTTTGAAGAACGAGTGTTGTGTCTCTTGATTAAAGCTTTGAAGCAAAATCAAGCGTGTGCATTGAAGAAAGTCTTCATAATCTTGTTAATTAGTAGATTAGTATCACTGCTGTGATTGAGGGGGAGTGAGTAGGAACTCAGGTTTAAGTAGAACTTAGATTGAAGTTGCATTGGGTAGGTCTTAAGTGAAGGAGATAAACTGGTTGGTTTATTCCTAAATTAATACCTCTTATAGTGAATTTCCTCCCTGACTTGGTAGCTCCCAGATGTAGGTGTGGTTATACACTGAATTGGGTTAACAATTGATTGTGTTCTTTACTATCTTTTAAAATACTGTTTGATTTGTGTACAACTTGTCAGATACGGTGTCATAACATTCACTGTGACATTAAGTATCTGTTGCCAGAATTTCAATGTGAAATCAAGATCTCAATTTTCCATTGGCATCAAGAGTCAAAACTCTAAAGATCTCGATATCTGATCTATTGGAATCATGTGAGTTTTACTCAAATGGTTCAGAGTCAGAATATTCAACATTCATCAAGTTATTGACTCAAAGGGGGTATCATAAAAAGGATAAGTATTCCTTACCTTTCTATTTTCACTTTTTTTTATTATAAGAACAAAATTGTGTCATCAAAATACATAGTTTTTTCATCATAAAAAAGGGGGAGATTGTAAGAACAAGATTTGGTTCTGTAATATTATCTCTGAGCTTTGATGATAACAAATGAGTATGTTTGTATGAATAATTTTGATACTCTAATGTTTGTTATTGTTGAGTATTTAAGAAACAGGTTCTGCTTCTGATGGATGGCGCGGGCAAGACAGTCGAAGAGAATTAATTTTGTTTTTGCGCTACACAAGTTCTGTTAGCAAGACACTCCAGAAGGCTTTGAAGTATAAGCTCTGATGTTTGTCTAAAGAAACAGTCAGAAGATCTGAATACTTAAGTTTCTACTAAAGTCCAAATGCTAAAGACTCAAGTTTCTAAAGACGGTGTGTTTCAGAGAAATAAAGTTAGAAGATCTGAAGACAAACTTTCTACTGAAGTCTAAATGCTGAAAACTTAGTTTCTAAAAGACAACTTGTTTCAAAGAAGACAAAGTTAGAAGATCTGAAGACAAAGTTTCTACTGAAATTCAGATGCTGAAGACTTGTGTTTCTAATAACAAGGTTCTAAAGATAAGGGTTCTAAAGACCAAGTGTTGAAGACTCTAAAGACGGAAGTTCTAAAGATTCTAAAGACTTGAAGTTCTAAAAACCCAAGGTTCCAAGAAAAGGTTCTCACAACCAAGTGATGAAGACTCTAAAGACTTGAAGTTCTGATGACCTTATGTTATGTTCTCGCTTTTAAACTCATGCTCGCAGAAGCCTCTGAAGTGTAGAAGGAAAGAAGACAACGTTAACGTGGTACAAATAGTACATGGTACAATCAACGTTTCATTCCACTACCATAAAAGGACGGATGTGTCGCACGATCTTGTCCCCCACGTTACTGTTCAAGCTGCCAATGTTTCTGAAAATCTCAAGAGTACCCCTCAACGGATATATTATTTTATTGGCTATACAAAGGCTTGAAGACTAAGAGATAAAGCAGCCAACCAACGAAATATTCACGCGCAAATGTTGTTTATAGATTTCATATTCTTTAGTCATTGTTCTTAAATAGTTTACATATTCAGCTTGTGTAGAAGCAATACTCTTGTAAACAAAACTTGTATTCAAACGGTTGTTTAATTTTCCTTAAGGGACCGGGTAGGTCTGTATTCTTAAGAAGTCTAGGACTTACGAGTTTTAGAGGTTGTTAGTCACTTGCGGGTAGCTTGTGCATTATAATAATCAAGTTGATTATTGTTTGATATTCCTTAAGGGACCGGGTAGGTCTGTATCCTTAAGAAGTCTATGACTTGCGATTCTTAGAGATTGTTAGTCACTTGCTGGTAGCTTGTACAAATTGATACCAGTTTGGTTATAATGAATTAAGTCACCGGTTGAGTGAGGCGAAATCACTTTAGCGGGTGGACTAGACTAACTTGATAATTTTTAAATGAACTAATATAAACATACCTTATTCTTTATTTCATATTCTTACTTATTGTTTTTATTAAGAGTGAAGGATAAATGATTTTAACTTAAAGAAGAATATTTTTAAAGAAAATTTTTTGTTTTAAAAACCCAATTTAAACTCCGTCCTTTTTTTTGTTTTTCACACCTTTAACCAATTCTTCAACTGATATACTATAACTTAACATTAACACAATGATACATATCACTAAAGAAAGCAATGGTCGATAACAATTTAAAAAAAAAAACATTGAATATAATCACAAATGGCAATAGACACGTCATTTTTCAAGATGTTGGTATGAATATGTTAAGATACTCTACAACTTGCTTATTTAACAATAGTATAGATTTAATCCAGTGACTTCTTATGACTAGGCACTTCACATGTCTTGTTTTTGGCCTACTCCAACAGGCCACATGCAATGCAAATATATTATACATGAAAAATGTCACAAGTCAAACTTCCTCACACAGGTTTATAAGCAAGTTATACATTATAGTACACATAACCGCAAAACAATACTAATACTTTATAACAATTACACTTCTGAACTGATTTGAAATTCTGCACTTGCATGAACCTCTTTGACCCTTTTGTCATACTCATCTTCTTCATCTTCCTCTTCCTCCCCCTCTTCTTCCGGTTCTTCTTCTTCCTCCTCGCCTTCCCAGCCAAAGCCTTTGACCGGCCTAGATACCGGAGGAGGTTCCCTCGCCTCTCCCACAATTTTCATTATCTCGTCCACACTTTGAATGGAAAAGCTTGGATTGCCTCTCTGGTAGTATGCAGCTTGAGCTGATTCAGTTAGCTCCCTTGGAAGATTCTTTAAAAACCATGGATGGTTTTTGATTTCCCTGAGAGAAATTCTCTGGAGACAAGGAGAATAATAAGGTCTCGTTAGTTAGCTCGATAAACAATGGATTTGTTATGATTGATTTATTTGAACCTAAGTGTTAGCATAAGAATTTTTGGGATTTTTTGGGGGAAACTTATCAAAACAAGTTATGACATGTCTGAAAAGCTCTTCGGAATAGTTTATAAAAACAATTTATAACAATATGTCCAAATTATAACAATAGAAATATAAAATAAAATACTAAAGATCATAACATACCTTTAATGGATTTGCAACAAATATACGAGATAGAAGGTGTTTGCAATCTTGAGATATGTGAACATAATCAGGGATTTTGTATTGAACGGCCATTATGCGCTGCAGATGAGGAATTGAAATGTGGATAAGATGTTGATAAAAATTACATGAAACAATACAAATATGAGTATGTATGCAAGGCCGTCTTTAAGGGCGTGCAAAGCAGGCTACCGCACAGAGGCTCAAATTTATCACAGTTAAATAGGGTCAAACTGCGGTTGAATAGGGTCTCTATTTTTATTCCATAGATAAACCACAACAAATTTATACCGGGGCCTCCAAAAACATGAGACGGGTAAGGGAGAGGAACAACATACCTGAATTGTTTTCCTGAAGTTTCTAGGATCATCTTGATCCTCGAAGGGATATGCTCCAACCAGCATGACATAAAGGGTTACTCCGCACGACCACACATCAGCCAACTAAAACAATTTTCAGAATACGACATTAGGTTCAATGGATGCATTAAAAAGGCTTTTCCAGATAACATGATTAGAGAAAAATAGACGCAATCAAGAAAGAAGTAAAAAAAACTAAGCAGAACCGGTTCTGCAAAAGAGTACATACATACCTTGCCATCATACTCCCTCCTAGAAAGAACCTCCGGTGCTATATAAGCTGGAGTTCCAACAGTTGATTTGGGTCGGGAATGAAGCAAAGATGACTACATCACAAACAAGAAACACTTGAGAGATACACACACAAAACTAACAAACTATCGTCAAAACTTTAAAACTCGATAGTATTCATTCATTACCGTACCTTGGAATAACCGAAGTCACAAATTTTCAAGCGAGGCGCAGGGCTTCCATCTAAAAGTGTGTTTTCCAGCTTCAAATCTCTATGACATATTTGCTGCAAAAGGAGAGAAAAAGCTTATTCTTCTCACTGTATATTTTGGAATAACACAGTCCTAACTTTATCAAGCATGATAATGATACCAACCATAGCATGACAGTAATGGACACCAGATATCAGCTGCTGAAAGAAATATCTAGCCTGAATAATCAAAGAAGAAAACAAATTAGATATGAAAAACTGTGAAATAAAGCAGAAAATTCTGCGAAACCGTCGAGTTATTAACCTCGTCTTCGCTAAACCGTCCAGCACTACATATCCTCTCAAAGAGTTCACCTCCAGCTGCATACTCCATCACTATTGCCAAATGAGTAGGAGTCAAAACCACCTGAACAATCAAAACCCCATTGAAGTAACAGTTAACTCTCATTCAATTAACATTATACTCGATACAAACTGATCCATCCTCTGTAGCACCGACACCTCTGAAAGAAACGTGTCTATGCCAGTGTCAGGTCGTCTTCGAGGTGTCTGTGCTTCATAGGATCCAACAGATAAACAAACAAATAAAGTTCTTACCTCCTTAAAGCGAATTATATTCGGGTGTCGAAGAGACCTATGGTTGATAATCTCTCTTGCCACATTCTCATCAATCTGGAATCAAATAAGCAAAAAAAAAAAAAAAACTTATAATTCCAGATGTCAAAATAATAGCTTTCCAAATCCATTCAGCATAAATCAAAACAACACAACAAAAAATTCCAACCATATCTAAAAGCTAAAATTTTCAATAGAATTTTTCTATCCCCTCTTCAATTTCACAAATCAAACTTCCAAACTCATCAACCATTCACCAACTACCCCAAATGTAAAACTCCATAATCATAAATCTAAGCTTTTTTATCAATAAAAAGCAAATCAAACGCACACAAAAGTATCATATAAAAAAAAAATCACCTTATGGCCACGCTCGATGTACTTCATGGCAACAAGCTCCTTAGTCTCCTTGTTCCTCAAAAGTCTCGCCACTCCAAAATTCCCAGCTCCCAAATCCTTAACAACTTCGTACCTCTCCATAACCAAATCCACCAAAACTCTCACAAAAAAACAACACTACTACTACCAGTAAATAGCAGTGGATGATGAAAAAGGTTCAAACTTTAAACTCAAATTCAAATGAGCATGCAAGTTATTCTAGAATCAAGCACTATTTATCCCTCTAATCAAAAGGGTATCGGAAAAAAAACGTATTTTTCACTGAAAAACCGGTTCTTCCACACCAAATATATAGAAACAATTCCCAAATATTATTATTAATAATAAAAGAGAGATATTTAATTTATTTAGAATTTGAGAACACGTGGGAGTGTGTGAGAGAAATCATTAAAAAACATTATGGTAGGGTGTTTGAGATCAAAAATCAAAGACAAAAATGAATTCAGTTTTTGTTTTTTTTGGTTTGATTAACTTTAATCTTTTCTTTTTGGGTGGATTTTGATGCAAACAGTGGAATGGATTGGATCTATTGTTAAAGGGGACACTTTTTTTTTTGTTCATTCTTCAATCAATCTCACTGTCATTTTCATAAGGTACTATCTTGTTTTACTTTTCGATTTTTGTTTTTATTTTGCTAATAAAACTGCGTTTTTTCCTGACTAACCAACTACTCCACTATTAATTAAATTAACTAAACTTATTTTACACGTATCTTTCGATAAATCACATTTTTTATTTTAAAATATGATATAATATAACTAAACATTATAATTTTATTAAATAATAATATAAAATTAATTTAATGATTTGTTATTGTATTTATCAATATCATTTTATAATATCAATGAAAAACATTTATAATGTATTTTTTATAGAAAATATATATTTAAATATTATTTAAGAAAATTATACACATAAAATTAGAAGAAATCACACCTAAGAAATTATATTTAAGTATTTTTTTTATACTAATTAATAATAAATATATTATTTTAATATATCAATGTTTTTTAAATACTAATCAATGTTGAATATTTTTCTGAAATATATCCATGTTTTTTAATTCCATATAATATGCCAATGTCTTAAATATAATTTTGTAAAAATTTATCATTCATATTTTAATATTTCTCATTTTATTTAAAAAACATCTAAAATTTAATTTATTTAATTTATTTATTAGTGATGAAACAGTTATCGCAATCTCACTATAAATAATACTTTCAATAAGAAATGAGAAAAACTCTCTCAACTTAACTAAACAATATGGAATTAATAATTCAAAGTATAATAGTACATAGAGGCCTATACTAGATATATACACTTTACTATAATTAGATAGAGATGTGAAGATCTCTAATTTTCATTAGAGTTATAATGTGATTTCTTTAGTCGGGTCTTGAAGCGGACAAGTGCTAATTAGATTTAATAAAGTTTACCTCAATTAAATAATTTATTTAGAAAAGTGTGGTTGGACTGAAATAGTTAATAGGATAGAGTGGTTATAATGATTCAAGTCTGGTACAAAATAATATTTAATTGAGATATGATTAAGGGCATATTTATTGTCCTCGCAAGTAGGGTATTCATTGTTGTACTTTTACGAGTACATTTAACTATCAATATAGAGCCCGATAAAATTGATAGGGCAACATACATCACTTTCAGCGAGAGTTCGACCACATCTCACCATGATAAGGATTGTCACCAGTAGCAATAACAACAACAATGTTTGTAACGTCACATCAAAGGCTGGCTGTTATGGGGAATTGTGTCGCCAGAACAAAGCCTTGTAGGAGACCATCCATGATTTGCAACATCAACAACACGAATCATTAGCCACTTGTAGCAAACATTTGGGATGCTCAGGTTCTTGGAAATTTCAAAGGACCGTCGTTAGTGTCGATCAATGGCAAGAGTGATCCACATAAGCATGTGATCCCCATTAATGCCCAAATGGCTATTATTGGAGTAGACAAATGTTGAAGTGTGAACTGATGATAAGAACATTCAAAGAGGTAATCCTCAAATTGTACACGAGCCTCCCATGGTTCTCAGTGTTGAGTTATCACGATCTGACAAGAAGGATGGTTCACCACTTTCTGGCCAATAATCATATAGAGGTTTCCACTACAGGCCTATTCAATGTTCGACAAGCCCATTTTGAGTCCTTGTATAAATATTTCGCCAAGTTTAATGAGGAGACTACGAAGGTCTCTAGCCTAAACCAGAAGATGTTTAGTGGATCTTTCCAAAACAACCTCATTGTCGGGAACTTCAACGAATCCTTGGTACAAAAGTTGGAAATTTTTATGGAGGAAATTGTGGTAAGAGCGGAACTTTATATCAAAGGACAAGAAAGCAATTCTGAGAAGATAACCTGAGATGCGAAAAAGAAAGAGATGGAAAAAAGTGTGAAGTGTAGGGTTAGTAGAAGAATCATAATTCAATACCAATTCAAGAAAAGGTCACAGTCAATGCCCACCAGAAAAATCTGAGAGCATTTCACCCCACTAAACACCGGGAAAGATAAGATATTCCAAGACGTTTATCACACCAAGGTCATTCTTGAACTTCTCACGCCCATGGGTGACATAATGGGGGAACGAGCCTGAAATATGGAATAAGTATCATAGGAAATATGGTCATGACACGCATGATTGCCACCACCTAAAGCTGGAAATAGAGAATTTAATACAGGAAGATTGCCTACAGAGATAGATGCGGGATAATTTCCATAGCCCAAAAAAAGTGCCTCCTATGAGGATAGATTTTTATAATACATCCTCACTTAGGAGAAATTGAAGCCAAGGAGAAAGGCATGAGACTGAACTGATGATCCTCACTTTAAATATGATTGAGGAAGATTTTGCATGAGATGTAGAGACTAGGTTGTCAAGGAAAAGATAAGCATGTCATGTAATGCACATCACTAATATCCCTCCCATAGGTAGAATTGTATCCACACAAAAAATTAGATTTTCTAACAGAGACGCGGATGGGGTATCACCCCATAAGAATGACATTATGGTAATAAGCATACAAATGCAAAGTACGCAGAGTTAGAATATCAAAAGAATCTGGGTAGATCATGGTAGCTCGGTCAATGTCCTTTACTAGGACGCCTTTGAAGGCTTGAAATTAGATCCCAAATACCTACAACCTTTCAAGGGTTTGCTGGTCAGCTTCTTAGGAGAACATGTGTAGGTCAGAGGAGAAAAAATGAGATTAGATATTTGGAGGTGAAAGCCCGCACTTAACGTCTTAAGGCTTATCCTATCCACCTTATCCCGGTAGATGAAATACCCTCTGGATAATGGGTGGGTTGATGTGGTTAGAGGCGATCAAGAAGTTACGAGAAAATGTTATCAGGATAACTTAAGGCTCAAGAGAAAATGGGAGGTTGCCTGATCATATATCTCCCACAAGGTTAACTACGTTGATTTAGACCCCATGGCCAATTCCTAGAAGGCTAACTAACGCCGACAGAAGATTTGAAGACAATAAAGATAGCTCCTTAGAGTCACCAAACCACTTAGATTGGGACACCATTAACCAAAAAGGAAGAACATTGTTATCGATTTTCTCAAAAAAGACATAGATTATTCGCATGAGACCCCTCTGATATGCTTGGAATACAGATCTACATAGAGTTCCATCATCTCACTATTAGACTTGGGTTCAAATTTGTCACCCATCAGAAGCACGAGGAAGGTTATTCTACCTTAAACAATTACTCTTTAACCTGCTTGTTTGTACCCCATAGGAGCACAAACAAAAGGGGGTGAAAATACACTCAAAATATGTTAGCAGTGTAAGACAAATCAAGGGTAGCATAATCACATAGTCATCAAATACACACGTTATTCACAACCATCATCATTCACATCAATTATTCTCAACCATTCAACAACATCATGATTATTCAATTACATATGCAGACATGTATGCAAATGTACTCAACACCCGACTCTAAATTCATGTGGTACTGTTATGAACATCACTGGCCCATAATCTCTCTAGATCTCTTCTTCGAAACCAGAGCACACCAAAATCACTAATAATATCTTTTTAGCAACGCTTCACTGATCCCTTACTGGAATCAGTTACTCGCTCCCGACCCACTCCTCTAGACCAGAGCACACCAGACAGAACCTAAGTTTGTACATCATGATGCATGACCTAACAATAACATGCAGATGTAAATATGCATAATCGACCCCTCTACTGACTATGTACATCACCAATAAGACCACCTCAACATAACAAGTATGATATGCACACATTCAAGCATGCATCATCATTCATATTATGCAAACAATTCACATGCACATATAAATCATCAATTAATCTTATAATAATTAATTCATTCATCATCACTAATCATACACACACACACAATTATTTTGCTAAGACCTCATTATGCGGTAGTAATATGTGTTAGCTTTCCGACGCTTCAAATCATGCCTCAATTGGAGTCGCGTGGCTCAAGTTATGATCAAAACAACAAGTGAACCAATCAATTGTTGTAACAGACCAATCATTTGGCACAAAGGACCAGTTGATTTTCCTTAACTCACTAACTCTATTTTTTTTTAATTTCCAAAAGGAACCAATCGATTGGCCTACAACAGCAATCCATTGTCCCACACTCCATATTTCTTATTTTGTTGAAATTTTGAATGGACCAATCGATTGGTCCAAGGTGTCAATCGATTAACACCTACAACCTTTCCAAAATTATAGTTTTTAATCATATTACCATAATTTTAATCACTTATAAACCCCACCCAAACATGCCCTAACATATCTAGACAACTTATTTCGACAATCTAACTCCATACATCCTTTACCTACTATTACTACATCATATGCACACCAATTAACATATAAATTCACCAATTTCTGCATCAACAACAATTTCACCATCAGAATCACCTTAATGTTCATCATCACCAATACAACATACAAATCATCAAAATCATGATCAAAATTAATCACATAAAATTCATCAATTTCTCATCATACATTCAATAATAACAACACATAATCAATTCACAACAAAAATCATCATCATCGTG